ATAGCAGACACACAGTGAACAGGGGGAGATGAGGGAGGGGAAACAGAGAAGCAGAAATAGAAGTGTCAGGGGAGCGTGTTGATTCAGAAGCCAAAATACAAGAGGATGCCGAGAAAGGAAGGAAAGAAAGCACAATGCCAAAGTGCACCAGAGTCTCTTAAAGATCTGCTCATGGTGAGCTGACACAAGGACCGGAACAGCGGTATGGCACACTGTGATTTTCTGTCCTTGAAAAGAGGGCGGCAGAGGCCATTCCATTTTTAGTTAGATTCTGAGAATGCTTTGGCTTAAACGATACTGTAAATGGGAAGGAATGACTGATCAATGCAACTGGGCAGTGAAATGGTTTCTACCCTTGGCCAAACCCTGTCTTGCTAAATCAGTTAAAATAACTGCAACAGGGCTTCCCTGGTGGCACAGTGGTTGAGAGTCCACCTGCCGATGCAGGGGACACGGGTTCATGCCCCGGTCCGGGAAGATCTCACGTGCCGCGGAGCGGCTGGGCCCGTGAGCCATGGCCGCTGAGCCTGTGCATCCGGAGCCTGTGCTCCTCAGTGGGAGGCGCCACAACAGTGAGAGGCCCGCGTACTGCAAAAAAATAAAATAAAATAAGTGCAACAATAACTAGCCCTCTTCTGACTGCATCTCAAGGGCAATAGGGCCACTGAGAGTGGCGCCTTCCTGCTGTCCACACTGCTGGGGACAGGACAACCTCTGCTGGCCATGGCGGGAGGGTGCTCACCAGAGGCTGGGCCCTTGGCGGGGCCGCTGCAGGGACGCCAAGCTTGGAGATGCAATGCTCTGACCCAAGTCAAACCCTACAAGTTCTCCAGTGAGAACAAACCAAGCAACCAAAACATGGGGCCAGAGGAGGGTGAAGCCGGGGTCCCAGGGGGCTGCAGCCCTGAGGGAAACACTCAAAAGCCTCTTTGGAACAAGGGGTGGGAAAACAGAAATCGGACCCCATGACCCCAAATCAAGCGGGCCTCTTGACGTGCTCTGAACCCTGCTGCCATCCGATCCCCCTCTCCACTTCACCACCCCCGGATCCGCGATTCCCATGGAGGGCTCACCTACGTCCAGGCACTGGGCGCCCTGGCCAGACACTATGTAACAAGCCTGTGGTGACAGTAACCGCTTCTCTAATTAGCCTCCAAATGGTCCTTCTTGGACCCTCTTATTTTGTGATGCAGCATCTTTCTGACACTCCAGGGGACCAGGTTCCACCCAACTCACAGATCCAAAAGAACATGAGTTTTGTTTTAACAAATTTATTTATTTTTATTTATTTTATTTTTGGCTGCGTTGGGTCTTCGTTGCTGCACGTGGCTTTCTCTAGTTGCAGAGAGCAGGGGCTACGCTTTGTTGCGGTGTGCAGGCTTCTCATTGTCATGGCTTCTCTTGTTGCGGAGCACGGGCTCTAGGCGCACGGGCTTCAGGAGTTGAGGCACACGGGCTTCAGTAGTTGTGGCACGCGGGCTTAGTTGCTCCATGGCATGTGGGATATTCCCAGACCAGGGTTCGAACCTGTGTCCCCTGTATTGGCAGGCAGATTCTTAACCACTGAGTCACCAGGGAAGCCCCCAGAACATGAGTTCTTTTTTTTTTTTTTTTTTTTTTTTTTTTTTGGTTGGGGGCCCCCCACTTTTTGGGCCCGCCC